TGTCATTAAAATTGCTCGAGCCGGGAGCTGCTGAACCCTAAACCCTAAACCCTAAACCCCAAACCCCAAACCCTAAACCCCAAACCCTAAACCCCAAACCCCAAACCCTACACCCTAAACCCTAAACCCTAGCAGGGGGTCCGTGCGTCAGCCCTGGTTCACATGTGACATGCCGAACTCCTGTGATCAACAACCGAATCTGAGGTGCAAGCGCGGAGTGAATAGATGCCCACTCCCTGCAAGGTCGGCATGGACACATCCGAAGCTGAGGGTCGTAAGCAATGCTTTTGCGCAGAATCTGATCGAACAATGGCCCCCCAAACACAGGGATGCCAAAACCATCAAAAACCTGCTAGGTGCTCATGGTAGCGGCATGCTGCAGCAATCCTGCAGAAGCGTCCAACTCTGGCAAGGCAGCTACCGAAAAGCCCAAAACAAATCCTGAAGATGCCAACACCGCCCGGATTGAAAGGTATGCTTACAGCCGCAAGCACGGAAACAGGGAACGTGTTTTTCCGCCACACAGTCATGCGAGTGGCGAGTTGTTGCTCTCCAAAGGTTGACATGCTCTAGCTTTGAGCACACAAGATGACACACATCGCGCTGCAGCAGATTTCGCATCACTTCTTCCACTCAATTTAGCAGAAATCGGAACTTTGTCTGAGGGTCATGCCAGAAGGTCGCAGTCGCCCATTCTCCCCCGACCATGTACAGCATCCTGTTTGGATCGTGATGATTTGGTGACGTCGCCAGCCAGAAAGTACCATCTCCTGCGTCAATGATGCGCCAGGTGCACGCAGGATCATCCCACGCCGGTGCCCAAAGCTTGAATCCGCTCGCCCGGATGAAGAACATGGCATTCGGCTCATCAGCCTGAGAGCCTGCATGCAACTACAAACCCTCAGATAAACCCCGATAGCCGAGAAGCTGATCCCTGAGGACTGCGTGCAGCATGGCAAGGGCATAGTATGGTATAGACAAGCATAATATGCTATAGTATAGTCTTGTGTCGTAAAGTATTGTATCGTAAGGCATAGTATGGTATGGTACGGCATGGCATAGTACAGGATAGTACAGTATAGTATGGTAGAGTATAGTATAGTCTACTCTAGAACAGTATACTAGAGCACAGTAGTGTAGTCTAGTATAGCCTAGTATAGTCTAGTACATAGTCAAGTATCATAAAGTATAGTACAGTATGGTATAATATAGTAGACTACAGTATAGTAAAGTACCCTAGCAAATTATGATAGAGTACAGCAGTATAGTCCAATATGGCGTAGTATGATCTAGTACATAGTGAAATATCATAAAGTATGGTACAGTATAGCATACTAGAGTATAGTATCCCAAAGAATAGCACAGCATAGTAGGATATAGTAGGGAAAGGCCTAGTATAGTCTCACAAAATAGCACAATGTAGCAAAGTATAGTAGAGTGTAGTGTGAATCCCTTAACCTTTCAAGCCTGTGATGAGCCAGTACTCTCCATTCGGCGCCGGCTTTAAGATCCAACGGCAGCTCCTCGGAAGTTGTCTCAAAGAGCTAGTGGTGCTCCAGGGATGACCCAACCGAAATTTAGAATCGAGTACATCTCAGGGTTTCGGAGCCTTAGAGGATCATTCAACCATAAAGGGTCAGTTTGAGGAAAGCCCTGTCCCGTCGTAGTTGAAGCCGTAAATTTTCTGGTCGCCTTCCTGCCGTCAAGGACAATGAGTTCCGGTCGCGAAAAGATAAAGCGGTGCTTGGAAATTCTAGACCACAAAGCATCATCATCCTCAGCAGCATCTTCATCATCATCATCCTCATCATCATCATCATCATCGTCATCAACATCGTCATCATCATCGTCATCAGCGCCGTCATCCTTATCAGAGTCATCCTTGTAATCATCATCAGTGTAATCAGCATCACCATCGTGTACGTCGTGAAAATGTGTATTGGGTCAATGCTTCTGCAGTCGCTTGCACGACTACCCCGTTGCTATCTTGCCAACTTGCTGTTTTATGTGATGCTTTTAACATGTCCGTACGACAAGATGTTGCTAGAGTCTGCGCTAGGCTGCTATGCAACTATGCTACCATTGCCAGCACTCCCCACAAATTTTGGCGTCTGTCAGCCTTCCAAAACAGCATGTCGTTCTGGTAGGTCCTGTGGCCTTCTGCACCCACGATCCAAACTTCGGCTGGCTTCAACATGAAGGGCTGCAATCCGGGCGCCACTTCCATCACCCGGAACTTGCATTTCGTGTCGTGACTGAAACTCCATGTACTCCACCCTGAACTCGTCAGGAACAGCATCTTTCCTCGCAGGTCAGCAAACCGAGCTCTACAGTATATCTGGGCCAAGAACTGCCAAGCATGGCATTCTCATGACCAATACTCAGGCACAACCATTTTTGTTCTGTCCTGGCTCGTGATGGTTTGGGCCCGTGACCAACCAGAACTCGTCACTGTTGGGCACTGCATTCAGCTTCCACTTTGTCTTCGGGTCCTGTCATAGGACTGCGCATCTGCAACCCAAAACCCTCAAGCAAGTTTGAAAAGCTTGAGAGCCTCCCAGAAGACGTGCGACTCAAAGTTGCCGTTGTCTGCCAGATAGACCATGTGACCCGCTGGCTGTTGGCCGTCTCCTGTTACGAGCCAGTACTCACCAAGTCCGTCCGGAAGCAACCGCCACGCTGTGCTGGGGTCTTGACTGAAAGGGAATTCCTGGGGGCCGTTGTCCCAGAAGAGAGATCTCCCTGTCACGCGATGGCCCTGGGAAGTAAAGATCCAGTAATGTTCTAAGGACGACATCGGCACGGAGGATCTGGGCACCTCATTCGCCGCCAATGCGTCGAAATCCGTCATTGCCTGCACAGCTGTAGCCTTGCTCGTTGGGGATATGAAGGGAATGGCTGCCAATATAGCCGCAAGCTGAGACTTCAGGTCCATGATGGTGTACCTCTTCCGCGGAGTGGTAAATGGCCCAAATTGCCTGAATGAGAGGAAACAAGGATTGAAAAGCTTTGCGACAGCCTCAAGATCCAAAGAGCAGCCTTGCAGCCAAGATTCAACTGAAGGGACAGCTGCAATCTGTGATTGTTCAAAATGCCCAAGACCTCAAAGCCAACCAGCCCGGTGTTTGGGCTCTGCAACGAGAAGAGAATGTGCTCAGTATTCGTGGCTTGGTCATCAGACTCCACCAAGGACGGAGAACGTGGGAAAAGTGGTTGGAGCCTCCTGTCTGCCTCGCCACCATGCCAGGCGGCCGTCACATTGTTTGCACCCCGCAACATGTCGTACTCCATGGATGCGAGGTAGCTGCTCTTCTCGATCTCGAACTCGAAGTCTTCCAAGTCTGCATGCACACCGGGCTTCGCACTCGCATTTACTGTGGCCTGAAGCAAGGAGTCTCTGGACATCACATTCAACGCCGAGTCGTCGGCACCATCCTCAGGCACTCCGAAGTTCATCATCCCACTGGCAGAGCTTGCTTTACGGATTCGGGCTTTTGGGGTTTCTTTTGTTCGGGGTGTTTGGTTTCCACTGCTTGGGATTCAAGCCAGGATTGGTGGTCTACTGAAACGATCGGGGGGCTTGGAAAAAGCAAGTAGGGTACCCGTGGAGTTGCAAGCAGGGTAGCCCAAGTTAGGCAATTTCTAGCTCGAGCTGTCTTTTATGACCAGCCCTTAACCTGCTATGCTTCAGATCATGCTTGGGAGATCAAGCCGCCAGGTAAACAACGGTCCCTCAGAAGAGCAGCGGGGGGAGGGATGGAGAGTCTCATGGGATCCTTAAAAGGAACCCCTGAAAGGAGCCCTAGGGTTTTGGGGGTTTGGGTTTTGGGTTTAGGGCTCCGTGTGTCTGGGTTTGGTTGCTTGGGTTTCCGGGTTGAGGTTGAGGGCTGTAGGAAGAGAGAGAGAGAGTCCTTTGTTTGTTTTCAAGTTCCTTACAGTTCTCGCAGCCGTTTGCGCGCCGCGCCGCCTCCATTCATGAGCACTGCATTCAAGAGGACATCCAGGGCCATGAGGCCAGTGGGTCTTATGCTTCGTGTGTGTGTGTGTGTGTCTTGTTTTTTTTTTTTGTCTCTCTGTGTGTTTGAGCTTCTCTGTTTTTTTTTGTTTTTTTTACCGCCCATACTAAGGACTGGCCGCTCTGCTGCAGTGAATGGTGAGTGTCTGCGTCGGTGAGTTTTGTGTTTTTTCTCTCTTGGTGGTTGTTGTTGTTGTTGTTGCTTTTGCT